TAAGGACATTTGGAGGGTGTAAGAACCCTCTGGTAGCCCTTCATATGGACCATCCAGCCACACGCTCATGGTGGCCGAATGTACTGTCCCATAACTGCTGAAAACCTCTTGTAGACCATATGCCGTCACTTCGAATGGGACATTTTGTACCTTCATCCATGTAAAGTACTTGGAGATATCATGTAAAACGATATCCATTGCTGAATTAACACACACACGACGTTCTTGACAATCATCGACGATCCTGGAGTAGAAGCCGGCTCGCACAAATATCACAAAGGTCCTTGTCATACAATTCAGAGCCACGCCATACAATTCCTCGTTGGGAATACCATATACATCCCATATAATGCCAGAGAGCAGGACATTCATTGTCGCACCATTTAATGTGCCATGAACCAGCTCAAGGATGTCAGCCACAGCACCGTGTCATCCTTTGCAGATGACACCCGAATCTGCATGACAGTGTCTTCCATTGCAGACACTGCAAGGCTCCAGGCGGACATCAACCGAATCTTTCAGTGGGCTGCAGAAAACAATATGAAGTTCAACGATGAGAAATTTCAATTACTCATATATGGTAAACACGAGGAAATTAAATCTTCATCAGAGTACAAAACAAATTCTGGCCACAAAATAGAGCGAAACACCAACGTCAAAGACCTGGGAGTGATCATGTCGGAGGATCTCACCTTCAAGGACCATAACATTGTATCAATCGCATCTGCTAGAAAAATGACAGGATGGATAATGAGAACCTTCAAAACTAGGGATGCCAAGCCCATGATGACACTCTTCAGGTCACTTGTTCTATCTAGGCTGGAATATTGCTGCATACTAACAGCACCTTTCAAGGCAGGTGAAATTGCTGACCTAGAAAATGTACAGAGAACCTTTACGGCGCGCATAACAGAGATAAAACACCTCAATTACTGGGAGCGCTTGAGGTTCCTAAAACTGTATTCCCTGGAACACAGGCGGGAAAAATACATGATTATATACACCAGGAAAATCCTAGAGGGACTAGTACCGAAATTGCACACGAAAATCACTCACTACGAAAGCAAAGACTTGGCAGACGATGCAACATCCCCCAATGAAAAGCAGGGGTGTCACTAGCACGTTAAGAGACCATACAATAAGTGTCAGGGGCCCGAGACTGTTCAACTGCCTCCCAGCATACATAAGGGGGATTACCAACAGACCCCTGGCAGTCTTCAAGCTGGCACTGGACAAGCACCTAAAGTCGGTTCCTGACCAGCCGGGCTATGGATCGTACGTTGGTTTGCGTGCAGCCAGCAGCAACAGCCTGGTTGATCAGGCTCTGATCCACCAGGAGGCCTGGTCACAGACCGGGCCGCGGGGGCGTTGACCCCCGGAACTCTCTTCAGGTAAACTCCAGGTAATGCAGACTGTGTTAATCCTCCAGCCCATACCATCCACCATCTTGGTGTCCAAGTACACAACTCACCTCCAGGTGGCAAATGAGGGAGTCTCGGGAAGCGTTCTCTCTCTCTCCGCAGGTTGAGAGACGAAATGAGTGAAGACAGCCTGCAGTGGTGGAAGAGAATGAAAGGAAAGTACCCTGCTTTGGCGAAGATTGCTTGCCAATACCTCTGCTGCCTACCAAGCAGTGTCCCTAGTGAGGAGTTGTTCAGTGGTGTGGGCCTCATTTATGACAACAAACCAAAAAGACTTCTGGCAGATAATGCAGAGAAACTGCCTGTGAGGGAAAAGTTCAACAGATAGGAGTAGCAAGCGAATATATGGTGATGATAGTTTAATTGCCAGTCTGCTTGTTAAGGTAGAATCTGTGTCTAGCTCCCGCTATCCCTTCCCCCCTTTCTCCACACAGAAAGGTGACGTGTGGGGTTCCAACCAAATGGATAATCACTTGACTCGCAGCTCCCAACACATCTGTAAGTAAAAATGGGGACTTACATTGCCTTTCTTTATTCCATATTCTCAGTAGTTGCTCATTTTGAAGGGATGTATTTAGAAGATTGTGGTTAAGGGGCACGCGCAGCGTCTCAGCCTCCTTCCCTAAGGACCCACGGGGAGAATGTCCAGTGTCATTGCCTTTGAGTCATCAAGTCACTTAGCACTTCTGCACTCCTCCTCAGTTGTTCGTATGTTCATCCCAAACACTTGTTGTTATATGTCCTGTTGATGTTCGCTCCTCTTGAGTTGTCCTTCCAGAGCTCCTTTCGTCTCATTACTTAAAACTTCCTTAAATCACCGTTTAGCTACTCACATTCCTTCCCTGATCGTTATCTTGTGAGTTTTCCTTTCCCTACCTCTGTTCTCAGCCTGATCAACCTGTCCCCCCCCCCCCCTTTGACTGGTTGTCTTCCTCCTGATTTTGGGCTATACAACAGTGTTCAGGTCAACTTGACTTTCGATGACTATGTTATTTTTCATACTGAAGCAGGCCACCCCCCTTAACTGTGCATACTCGTTCCTGGCATTGCTAATAATCTCCCTATATTTCATGTCTTTTATGTCTTCTGTATTTTTTTCCATCATCCCCCATCTATTGCGCTTAGTTTTTTGGCCTCCTTACACCGTAGGGTAAACGCGAGCTCGTTCTCTGATTCTTCCCATTATTTCTGTGGGGGGACCCTGGGAATAAACCTTTCCTCTGCCATTGATCCAGCCATAGCACTCCTTCCATTTGGCGCTCCTCTTGGTCCAGTGCTATCGAATCAGATCCTAGAAAAAAAAAAACAAATCTCAGACCCCGGACTACGGAAGGCAGGGATGAAAGACACTGTATACACATGATGCCTTTCTACCTACTCACCCAGGTGCCTGTTCAATCCCAAAACTTACTACTTCCAGAGATGCTCCCCCAGCCTTTTCACGTCCAAAAAAATCCTAAGAATGGACTCTCTCCTTAAGACCATGCTAGAGAGTGTATTGAATCTTCCTTGAAGATGGGCAATGGTCGCAGCCTCGCTTCCGGTCAGGCCTTGGTAGCATCTGGGAATTACAGATCCTCCCAGAATTGCCCCTACTAGCATTCCTATCCTCTTCCATAGCCATAAGTGAGTTAAGACAAATGCTTTCTAACCACGTCAGTGACTCAGCAGGAATACAGGGCCCTAACTATGCCCGTGCCATCGCACACGAATAGGAGCCTCCTTAACTGCTCCCGACACAAAACCCTATGTGCAGCACTGGCTTACAGTCACACTGGGATGGCCCATCGCTAAAAAGGATTGCCCGTCTCCTGATGTGAGCGCACCTCACTCAGGAGAGTTAACCTGGAAGAGTTCCGGGGGTTCAACGCCCCCGCGGCCCGGTCTGGACCAGGCCTCATGGTGGAATCAGGTCCTGATCAACCAGGCTGTTTACTGCTGGCTGCATGCAATCCAAAGTACTAACCACAGCCCAGGCTGGTCAGGGTACCGACTTTAGGTGCCTGTCCAGTGCCTGGCTTGAAGACAGCCAGGCGTCTATTGGTAATCCCCTTGTGTAGCTGGGATGGCAGTTGAACAGGCCCCTCGGGCCCCAGACACTTACTGGTTGTCTCTTAGCGTGCTAGAACATCCCTGCTTTTCATTGGTGGGATTTGCATCGTCGCCGAGTCTTTTGGCTTACGGAGAGAGTGATTTTTTCGTGTGCAAGTTCGGTAGTCCCTCTAGATTTTCCAGGTGATATAATCATGTATCTCTCCCGCCTTGTGTTCCAGGAGTACAGTTCAGGAACTTTAAGTGCTCCCAGTAATTGAGGTGTTTTATCTCCTGTTATGCATGCCGAGGAAGGTTCCTCTGTATACATTTCTAGGTCAGCAATTTCACCTCCTTGAAAGGTATGTAGTGTGCAGCAACAATCCAGCCTAGATAGAACAAGCGCACCTGAATAGTGTCATCATGGGCTTGGCATCCCAATTTTGAAGGTTCTCATTATCCATCCTGTCATTTATCTAGCAGGTGGCGATTGATACAATATATGTCCTTGAAAGTGAGATCCTCCGACATGATCACTCCCAGGTCTTTGACGTTAATTTATCAGATCTATTTGTGTGGCTGGAATTTGTTTTATTACTCCCTGAACATTACGTGTAATGCAGCGATCACTTGCCGACCAATATGGTCTACATGGTCTCATCGTTCCGAAACCAAGGCTGGCATGCAAGACAACAATAAGGTCAACGATATCATCCAGCTACATCTGGATGCCCAGCCAAGATGGAGCCACGATCACTAGCAGCCAACAATACCCACAACTCAGCAAACTGCTACTGCTCCAATGGGATCACCACTGATCCATGGAAGAATGGAAAAGCTCTTAGCATGGTGAACTATACCTATGTGTCCACAATCTAGCGGACACCTAAATCCATCACAGTGTCGAGCGACAGAGAGAGCTGCTGACGGGCACTGGAGGAGTACATATGGCAAGTACCGGGACATAAGCCAAAAAATCCAATTTGTCCCAGTGGGATCAGAGACCTTGGGATCATGATGAAAACATGCCATACGTTTCCCTTAAGAAACGGTTCCAGACTCACTCGACACCACCAGGGACCCAAGGGCAGCCAGCTTTCATGTCCAGCACCTCAGGCATGGCCCCTCCAGAGGGTAAATGCATGCTGCATACTGGGCTCGCGTCCAGCCTTCGAGGAGCAGGAGAGATTCAGAACCTTTGATATATTTTACCAATGTAGTCATGCTTTGTGTTTTCTAACAATGTATTCTGTCTATTAATAAAGTACATATGTGCTTAAAAATATAGGGGATGGTAGAGAAGAAAATATTCAAACAGCTCCGGGAGAACCTTGAGTTTTCCTGATTAATGTTTTATTTGTTTTCTCTCTGAGGATGAGGGTCCCCATCAATTTCTAGAAGGTATACCTTCCTGTATATATATATATATATATATATATATATATATATATATATATATATATATAATATATATACACACACACACACACACATACTCTTGCCGCGGTGGAGGAGGGAGCCAGTATATGGTGCTCCATTCATTTTGTGTTAAACCAAGAAACCAACAGGTTTACATGAGCCAGTTTCGGCAGACATTAACGTGAGTAATCCACCGAAGATTACAGAGTTGTGACAATCCTCTGCATCAGGACCCGTTGCCTTCTGTATCAGTGAAAGTGAAGTGTCATGTTGGATTTGGGGAGTAGCGGTGGTGGAGGATCCCTGCCAGGGGTATGTGGAGGAGTTTTGATTACCCTCTGGTCCGGCTGGGTTCAGGGTTGGGGAGGAAGTGTCGCTCACGACATCATCATTCATCGGTACTGAAACAGAAGAACACCTCTGTTAATAGTAGAGAATGGTGATTAGTGTGCCAAATGGCAAGGGTTTTTCCCTAAATGGATAATAAGTGTATAACAGTTAGCAAAAGTTAGTGCTGAGCATCTTGAGTGAACACACATGGGCCACTCCTCTGCTCCCAACGCTGATCCTCACACCGTCATCCAAGCCTAGCCCACTGCCTTCCTTGACCAAGTTGTTGCCTGTTTAGTGTCCCACCAATTACAGTTCTGCCGCTTCGCTACTCCCCCCACCCCATCCTCCTGCATTCATGCGGTCCACCCACTGTCACCTCACACTGGTGCCCCTCCCACCACCCACCAATATCAGCAATGTCACAATAGTCGCAGGTTCCCAGAATTTCACGGGGAAAACAGAGCCAAAGCTTCATTCACGAGTGGCCATCTGCCGGTGTGCTACAGGGAATGGTGCAACTCAATCCCTCAACTGGCAACATCCGTGCCCACAATGGATGTCTAGGCTCCAGAGAGCTCCAAATGAGAACAAACCAACAGCCCCTCCCAGCAGACAGTGCTGACAGCTGACCGAGACTTCACCTCTACAAGAGGACGCTCAAATCTGCAATCAAATAAACATCCAACCAGGACTCTGACCACATCTCCCAAAGCAGCTTCGCCCTCAAGCTGCTACATAATTCACTGACCTTCTGAAGAAAAGTCAACGATGCTCCTTCAAATACAGATCCTGGCAAAACCCTGCTCCTTTTTGACAATGCCTGTTTGGGCTGTCCCACCAAGGAGGGACAAGTCACTAGCAACACAGTATTAGGGCATTAAATGCTTTTCCCAAGGGGAATGACAACTCGTCCGTTTTCCCCCCTAGGCGAGAACAGATAAGATAAGATAAGATTTCGTTCGGATTTTTGTAACGAGCCCGAGGGTTAGCCACCCAGGATAACCCAAGAATAAGTCAGTGCTTCATCGAGATGTCTAACTTAATCCATTGGGGTCCCTTTAAATCTTGTCCCCCAGATGCGTCCGCACCACTCATCGACCTAACACCCAGGTACCTGATTTGCTAGCTAGGTGAACAGGAACAACAGGTGTAAGGAAGACGTGTCGAAATGTTTCACCAGCCGGGAATCTAACCCGGGCCCCCGTGTTTGAAGCGGGAGCTTTATCCACCAGCCACCGGGCCCACCCACTGGGCAAATGCCAACAACATCAAGACAACCCGACGCCTCAAAAATCAGAGCCCAAAATTAACAAAAAAAAAAGAAGAGGGTAAAACTTGGAGCTCTGAAGGCTTATAACCAGTGAGAAAAAACCATTGCTTCCCAAGGACGTCAGCATGGCGCAAGCCTCTGAAGGACAAACATCTACCTAGGGTTCCAATTTCCAACCTTTGACATCCCTGACATTGCAAGCCAGGCGAAGAAAATATCCTAACACTTTTACACGATGCTGATGTGTATAAAGCGAGCTATGTCATTTCCACAAGGCTCAGCAGGAGGTTTCACCGGTTTAAGAGCCTCACGACTTAAAAACAAATAATCAGTCCAGCACTGGTGTTGTTTTTCAGAGAGCGGCTGTCTGAACTCACCAAATTTTCCAACCTGTGCCTGGCTGGCAAGTGTCCCAGAGGCCTCAGACCCTTTTGTGCCTTCATTTTGTGCCCTCCGGAAAAAAGGATGGCAGAATCAGGCCTATTGCAGTGCAACCACCCTTCGGCACTTAGTCCCAAGGCTGCAGTAAGAAGGGTGAGTCCAAGAGGCCTGCTGCCAATGTTGAAACCAACCAGCCGGATTAGGCGTTCAACAGGGCTGTGAAGCAACGGCCCACACATACGAGAGTATATCAACAATATGTCGGATGAAAAAGCCTTGGTCAATTGGAACTTTCCAATGCTTCAACTCAGTCAGAAGGGATGCTGCTCTCCAAGCAGTTTATAGAAACACTTCCCTTCCCTTTATCCCTTCATAGAATTATGTTATAGTGTAACATCACAAACTATTGTTTGGGGACAATGAAACTGACTCATGTGAGGATTGCAACAGGGAATCTCGCCCCATTTCTTTTCATCTGTTGTTCACAAGGAAGTCACAGAAGCACTTCTCCAGTGAGGTCAATATCTGGTTCCGTGATGATGGAACCCTAGCTGGCACAACAGAACTCTCCTAGAGGACACAGTAAAATTTAAAAGCATGGGAGAGATGCCTGATCCTATCTTTAAACGCCCACCAGAATTGTGAAAGAGTTCTAACAATCGAACAGTTGATCCAGAATATTAAGGCCGTATTAAACCAGGAGCACGAGCCATTGATTCCAGCCAACAGCACTCTCCTTGGTGCTGCCTCTTGGGTCCAATGCCATTGATCTGATCCCTAGAAAAAAGTCTCAGACCCCGACATGGAAAGCCAGGATGAAAGACATTGACGAACATATGCCTTATCTTACTCACCAGGTGCCTGTCAATCCCAAAAACTTACTCCTGAGCAGCTAACCATCCTTCAGCACTCCAAAACTCAAGGGCCCTTAGAGATTACTCAGTCGCGACTGACAGAAATTTCGAAAAAATTCACAAATTTTAGTTAATCATATTGAAAAAATATTAATTAATAATAATATCTTTAATTTTACTACAAGTACATGTTATCAGGGTATACAGTCCTAGCTGACAAACAATGACATACTACTATAATAGAAAGTCCCTTGTTAATGCTCCGTTAATTTTTTCGGGCAAGAAGCCCCTATCCACGAGCTCTTTTCCATCCAATGGAGAGATGGAGCAATGGACACGGGGACTCCCTCAGTTTACTAAAAAACAACAGACATAGCCCACCCACAAAGGGGCAGTAAAGCAATAGCAAAGAACTACAGACCAAACACTAAATCCCATTTCATAAAGATCCAATCTTTGAAAGGGCCTAAGAAGCAAGATCACCACCTATCTAGAAAACCCATCAGGTACACAACCCAGGCAACATGGCTTAGAACTGGTCGCTCGCTTCTGTCCAACTATAGGATCACTACGACAAGGTACTAAATGCAACTAGAAGACAAAAAGAATGCAGATGTAATTATATACAGACTTTTGCAAAAGCCTTCGCCAAGTGTGACCATGGCTTAATAGCGAACAAAATGCGTGCTAAAGGAATAAGCAGGAAAAGTCGGTCGATGGATCTATAAATTCCTCACTATCAGAACACAGAGAGTAGTCGTCAACAGAGTAAATCCGGCATCTACTTGAAAAGCTCTGTTCCACAAGGCACAGACTAGCTCCCATCTTGTTCCTCCATCCTCAAATCTGACATAGACAAGAGGGTCAGCCACAGCACCGAGTCTTCCTTTGCAGGAATGTCACTCCGAAGACAGCATGACCAGTGATCTTCCATTGCAGACACTGCAAAGCCCAGGCAGACATCAACCAAATCTTTCAGTGGTCTGCGTAAAACAATATGAAGTTCAACGATAGAGAAATTTCAATTACTACAGATATGGGTAAACATGAGGAAATTAAATCTTCAATCAGAGTACAAAAACAAAATCTGGCCACAAAAAAAGAGCGAAACAGCCAAACGTCAAAGACCTGGGATGTTATGTCGGAGGAACTCGCCACCTTTCAAGAACATAACATGAGGGTCGACGTGGGGGGGGGTGCTAGGAAGAAATGAGGCGGGGATTGGGGCGAGTGAGTGTGGCGCTGATAATGAGAACCCTTCAAAACCTAGGGATGGGTGGGGGGGGGGGCCAACCCATGTGCGAGGAGCACTCTTCAGGTCACGGGAGGGCGGGGGGGGGTGGAGGGGTGGGGATGCTGTGTGTCTAGGGTAGCTTAGGCTGTAATATTGCTGCACCTCTAACAGCAACCTTTCAAAGGCAGGTTGAAAATTCGCCGACCTAGAAAAATTACAGAGAACTTTTCATGGTCGCGCATAACGGGGAGATAAAACACCTCAATTACTGGAGCGCTTGAGGTATCTAAACTGTATTCCCTGGAACACAGAGGGAGAATACATGATTATATACACATGGAAAATCCTAAGAGGGACTATAACCGAACTTTGCAGACACGAAAATTCACTCACGGTACGAAAGCAAAAGACTTGGCAGACGATGCACCAACCCCCCAATGAAAAGCAGGGGTGGTCACTAGCACGTTAAGAGACCATACATAAAGTGTCAGGGGCCCAGAGAACTAGTTCAATAAAAGCTGCCTCCCAGCACAAGGGGGATTACCATAGCAGACCCCTGGAATCTTCAATCGATGTGCACTGGACAAGACCAAAAGATCAGAATGGGGCCTGGGATGGCAGCGGGCGGGGGGGGGGCTGTGTGCTCGTACGTTTGTTTGCTTGGCAGCCAGCAGCAACAGCCTGGATGATCCAGGTGGGCTGATCCACCAGGAGGCCTGGTCACAGACCGGGGGCCGTGGCTTTGTGTGGGGGGCGTTGACCGCGGGGGGGGGGGCCTCCCCCGAAACTCTCTCCAGGTAAACTCAGGTAAACTCCAGTGTCCCAGGGATGCGAACCCACACCAGTCGACTAACACCCAGGTACCCATTTTAAAAAAAAAAAAAATTGATGGTAACATAGACAACAGGTGGAAAGAACACGTCCAATTTATCTATCCTACTTCTGGCTGGGAACGAACGCCCGGCCCACGGCGGGGGGGCCGTGTGTGGGCGGGGAAGCGAGAGCGTTAACTACCACCATTGGCCACCAGAGTCACTGGTAACAGAGAATCATTGTTCTACGACATTCCTACAAGGAATTTATTAGTCATTGTTAAAACACCTAGGGTGATCCTCAGGGGCGCGACCCGTGCGCAGGGGGGTCTGCTCAGGGGGCATGTCCTCATTTTCATGTTTTTTTTTCCTATTTTCTTTGGTGTATTTATTGTATTAATTGCGTTTCTAAGATAATAATTGACGGGAGTTTGGGCACGTAATAAGAAGTGGGTGGGACTAATACGTAGACTTACAAGCCATCAGGAACTTCTGGAACATATTGCTGAACGTCATT